AAATAATATATCCAAAAGAAATACTATAATTTCTAATGTAAATTTTACTTTTAAACTTTAGAAGCAACTGATATGAAGTTAAAGATAGAATCAACTTATAAGCAAAGATTCCTTATTACAAATGCGTGCAATCTAATTTTGTCTTAATATGCTGTTTTTATAAATGATGGCTCCTGGCTCAGGAATGATGGAATTGCATGTTTTTACATTTTCTGATGCATTAATCAGTTCAATGCCATCACAATCAGGGAAAGACTAACAGGAGTTTAAGAAAAAGACAAATCTATCTGTACAAAAATCAAAGTTAATTTCTGTGTCCTTGGTGTTTGAAAACCAATAAATATCTTGCAACAGTTTCTTCAGCATCATGTTTTAAGCTCTCTACCTATTTTTAAAAATGAATAGGCAATTATTCTATAATAACACTTTAAGAAAGCACATTTCCGTTACAAATTCTGGTCACATTTATGTTTTAAATATATATTGAAACATAGCATTCCCTTAACACTTCTAATCATACCCTGTGAGGTGGGGAGGCCGGTGACAGAAGCTTCATTCCAGGAGAAGAAAACAAGTTGTACTAAAAGGGAGTGTGGTTTGTAGTTAAGTACTGGAACCCAGGCTGGGATTAACATGATACAAATCCAAAAAGCTTATAATTTTTGCATGAGTATTAATGTAACTTCCCCCTCCAGGAAATTCAGTATTTTAATTCTAGTATTAAGATATTGAGACTTAGAGATGGAAAGGTCAAGTGAATGTCCAGGGTAAACTAGGAAGCTTGCTTCCCTACAAACTGGCATTGTTTGCATGCCTGTCCTTTTATTTAGCAGAGGTGAAGAGAACAGTTTTCTCTTAATGTAAATGGTATTCAGATGTACTTGCTATTTCATTCCTCATGACAAAGCAGAATCCTTTTTAGAAAAATGTTCAGTCAAACATCCTTCTGTTTAAGACTCAACAGTTCTTGGGAAGCATTAAGTTTAACATATAAATTGTATTATAAATCATAAGCGCGCTAAAACAGTATTGCTCCATGCTCATACTATTCAGTTGTAAAGTTCCAGGCAACTGTGCCAGTGTCACAGGAATCACCATTGAAGATCTATCTGTGCTAATGAAGGGCTTCAGGCTTTTTTGTTTCACTTTAAAATACAGAAATGGGACCAATTTATTGGTTTTACCAAATTACACAGGTGTGTACACCATCCATTTAAATTAGGCCTCAGGCAGTGGTGACACCATCTTTCCTCTAATCTCCTTAGAGGATAGATTAGAATGAATTATTATGAAATCATCTTTTCTGATCACCTTTAGGGTTTGAAAAATTACTCTTCTCAGATGGTTTAGGTATAAAGAAATAGAATTTTAAAAAAATCTCTTATGATGCTGATTATATAATCCATAGTAAATGAATGAATGTTCACTTGTATATACTTTAATTCTCATTTATAAAGACATATTTTAATGTCATCCTGCAGGACACATGAGTTATAATAAGATTTCTCTATTTCTTCTTGTCCTATTACATTTGTTGCCTTTTAGATAACCCTGCCCTGTTCTGGTTCTCAAGACACATCTCTCTCTGGGGGAGTATTTCCTTCAACCTCGCTGTGTTCATCAATTTAGCTGTTGCTCTTTTCTACCCATTTGGCGATGATGGAGATGAAGGCAAGTGCTTGTCTTTCTTTTAAGTTAGAGTTGTTTTAAAATACTAAAAATAATAGTCACTTTAATATTTTCTCTCTTTTATTACTGCCCTATGGGAACTGGCTCATAGCTGACTCTCCATTGGATTTTTCTGAGTCTGCAAATCACACGGAAGGAGACTGCCCATCTTTCTTCCTAGGAGCAACTGGTGGATTCGAACAGCCAGAGAGGCACCAGGCTTTGGGTTAACAGCACACTTCCCTATGTACTGTGCCACCAAAGCTCCCTAGATATTTTATAGATCATTTCTATCTATAACTTTAAGAGTAACTTAATTCTTGTGAAATGGATTTTTCTATATAATATACATTATATGTAAAATATACTGATAAACAGAGTATGGTGGCTGATTAATGAGAAAGAGAGAAAAACATAATCAATAGAACTTTTTACATTTTAAACTAATGTACACTAGAGCTGTGAGAGCTGTGTTCTATTCTGGCAAATGAAGGAATGAATAATGTTTTGTTCCTCATAGCATTCTATAATGCAGATTTTCTGAAAAAAAATGAGAACTACAAGCAGGATGATCCATTTTCCTTACCTTAAGTAGATGAATTTATGTTTCATTCTCTTTAGTATACTCTCTTATTTAAGGTTTCTAAAATGAGCAAACATGTGACTTGAAAACGTCTTAATTCTGTAATCCTATGTCAGAGTTAATAAATAGAAAATATAACTTTCTTAGTCCTTTAATGAAATAATATCAAATGTAGTAATAAATAATGAATGATATTGACTATCAAATTATTATATTAATCCAATAGTCTTCACAATCACTTGTTATGCATCGGAGAGTTGGACAGTGACCAAAGAGGATAGAAGGAGAATTGATGCCTTTGAGCTGTGGTGCTGGAGAAGAGTATTGAGAATACCATG